TCTCCGACCACGTAGCGAGCCACAAGCTCCGTGGCTTCTTTCAGACTGATAGGTTTAACGTTATCTCTGTTATTAGAACCAAACGACAGCCGTTGCTGTTTCGGAGCTGAAGGACCAGCGTTCTAAAAGTAACGGAAGTAACTGATGTCTTGTTTGAAAATGTACTTAAGTATTTGATTACTCAAACAGCAAATTAACGCATTAGGTTACTTGTTACTGCAAAAAGTAATCAAAGTACTCTAACGCGTTACAAAGTAACGCGTTATACCCAACTCCGCTGAGCACCTGCTCACGGACAAGAGGCTCGTGACATTGTGAGATGTAAACATTAATGGCGTCCTCCTCAGCTGAGCTGTAACAGTAGCTAGCTCAGTGGTGCTAAGTGAGCTCGCAGTAGATGCATGCTTCCTTCTGCACCGTGACAGAGGTTGTACTTTGGTAGAAAGAAAATAGTTCCAACATGAAACTTCTCACAACAAGGTCTGTGGATTTTCTTGAGTAACTGGGTCATGATTTCTGGAAAAGAGACATTGATGTTGAGTTTTTCAGATGTAGTTTTTGGCGCTTTGAGCACCACAAGCCGAGTGCCATCTATTTCTATTACAACAGAGAGAAGGCAGACGTCTCTACAGCCTTATCATTCTGATTGATGATAATATAAATTCTGTAATACTGTGATACTGTGAAACCGAGATGGTTATTGTACTGTGAAAATTTCATACCATTGCAACACTATATAAAACTGCTTTATTTAGTGTTTTTACTGGTTTAAATCAGAAGAGACCTCTATGGATAATTCAGCTCCCAGTAAAACCTCCTGAACATGTGGATCTTAAGTACATCGACATGCCAAACAGCATCAGAGAAACACTGATTTGTAACATGAAACTGCTTTGTCCTGTCTTTTAACCGGTCTACTTCACTCGGTCTGTTTTTGAGAGGAGACCTCTGTGAATAATTCGCCTCCTGATTTTAACGTCCTGAACAATGAACACTGAAGGAATTCTATCCAGGCGAAGTTTCAGCAGGTTGCAAACTTCAGTCCTCACCACTAGATGCCACTAAATCCCCCTAAATCTTACACACTGAACCTTTAAAGGACAACTTCGGTATTTTTCAACCTGGGCTCTATTTCCCCATGTGTATGTGTGCGTATGATTCATGGGTACCACTCGTTCTAAAATTGGTTCAGTATTGAGCTGCGAAACGAGCTAAAACGGGGGCAAGTGCTTTTTTCCACCACTGACCAGTTCAGATCGCCAGTGTTATCTCTGTAGATAGCATATGGTAGCAGCCCTGGGCCAGTGGTGAGTGTCAATGAGTGGAGTCAGCTGTCAGTCAGTGTTGGAGCAGAAAGGCGGAAGTTGTCCCCGCTCGGTATTGTAAATGAGTATGTGTGTGTGAAGTGTGTGTTTTTTCGCCACTGACCAGTTCAGATCGCCAGTGCTATCTCTGTAAATAGCATGCTAACTTAGCCTTTCCCTTACCTCTGGGCTGTGTGATGTCACGAGCTTTGCTCCACTGTGTCTGTAGCTCTCTCTACTCGTGGGACAGCCGTTTTCTTGAGGAAGAGGTGTTTCGGGATTGGATGTCTTCTCTTCTTCGGCTGGCAGTAGTCATCTTGGGAGAAGTGAGCACTGCAGACCCGATGGTCTGCAAGGCGCAGTGTCTGGACAGGAGTGTTAGCATCCATTTGTAGCACAACTAGCCACAACTTCAGCATCTCGCCGTCCGACAAAGGCAGCCTATGAAAGCTGTATGGGGTGTTGTGCGACATCCTGTTCTTGCGTTCGGGAAAAAGGCCCGTTTATTTGAGCACTCCAAAAACTCCGGTAACACTCCAGGGGGTAGCACGTAAAAGACTCCATCCTCTGACTCTTCTAGCGTAACACACACTTCACACACACATACTCATTTACATTACCAAGCGGGGACGCCATCCCCCTCTCTGCTCCAACACTGACTGACAGCTGACTCCATTTGCCCCCATTACCGTTTTAGCTCGTTTCACGGCTCAATACTGAACCAATTTTAGAACGAGTGGTACCCATGAATCATACGCACACATACACATGGGGAAATAGAGCCCAGGATGAAAAATACCAACGTTGTCCTTTAAGAGCCAGCAGGATCACAGAAGTTTGGCTGCAGTCAGTGCTGACACATTACCATCTCATTTAAACTCAATCTGCATCATCTGATCATTCGAATCATGTTTCATATTCAGTTCATCAAAACCAGCAACAGGAACATATTCATTCCCCGCACCGTGTCCAACTACTCGTAAACTACAAACAGTGTGATGAACATTTCTATTTCTTTGCCAGATGGACTTATTTATTCACATCAGGAGGTCGTTGTGCGCTCATGTATAAATGTTGAATTATGGCAATTGTGTAATGTGCTCATATTTATTTCCATAATGTATTTTTTCTGGTCGGGGAGAAAAGCATTTGCCTCCTGTTGAGAGACAGATTGTGTGAAATGAACTCAGCCGCTCGCTTTGCTGTCTTATCCCGCCGCCTTTTTCTTTATCTCTCTCTCTTGTCCTGGCTTTTCTTTTCCATCCTCTCCTTTTTGCTTCTGCCAATCACTCCGTCTGTCCTCTAACACTCCCTCCCTCCTCGTATCTCTGTCTCGTGTTCTCTGGCTCGGTCAGAAAGTCAGGGTTTAAAAGGTGCTACATGAAAGTGTTTCCTCACAGTGTACAGTAACAGTGGAGTGAGTGATGAAACTCACTGTCTACTGTCTCACAGTAGAATAGATATAGATGGCGTGTCTTCTCTCCTGCGTTATTCTGTAATGACCCCTCTGCCTCTTTTATCTCTTACAGCTGCATATGCATCGATTTAAACAGAAAAAAAGGCCCAACTGTGCAGCTGCTACAGTGTCTGAGTTTTAAACCTACAGAATATGCGTCTATTACATTTACTAAATTATACCATGTTGGATCATTTGATTAACAATCACTGAAAATAAAACTGTAGAATGTAAAATAGTAATGCTTTAAATTCTGATTATGGTTTGAGAACCTTGTGATATAACTCTCCACACACTAAAGACCAGGCAGTTAAAAACTGACCCAGTTTGGATCAGCATCCCAGCTGGCACCGGATGCATTATGACCTCAGAAAGACGTTGGACTCTTAGATCGGACAGACGTTAAATTTGGATCAGAATAAAAATTGGATAAAGCATCATTTATACATCTAACGACGTTAGAATTTCATGTTGTGTTGACATTTTGCAGACTGTTTTGTTTTCCATACCTTACAACAAGATGATGTTGGCGTGAGACGTTTGGAAGATGTTGGATTTTGGTGACTCAACAACACAACACCAACAAAATAGACATTAGATGTTGTGGTCAGCTGACGTCACAACATAAATTCCAAATATCAGCATCTAATGACGATGGTGGCCAGCTGGGATAGCACCAACACAATGCTGTGTTAACTTTTCCCACTTATGACCCAGTGTTGGTGTTATTTTTCTACGTTTCTGTTGGGCAAACCCAAACTCCACCATCCATCCGTCTTCAACTGCTTATCCAAAGCTGGGTCTTGGGGGCAGCAGGCTGAGCAAACTATTCCAGACGTCCCTCTCCCCAGCAACGCTTTCCAGCTCCTCCTGAAGACCTCCCGAGGCGTTCCCAGACCAGATGAACTGTATAATTCCTCCAGCGTGTTCTGGGTCTGCCCCGGGGCCTCCTACCACTGGGACATGCCTGAAACACCTCCAGCGGGAGGCGCCCAGAAGGATCCTGATCAGATGCCCAAACCACCTCAACTGACTCCTTTCGAGGGGCAGAGGAGGGCAGGAGCAGTGGCTCTACTCCAAACTTCCTCCGGATTTCCAAACTCCTCACCCTATCTCTAAGGCTGATCCCAGACATCCTTCTGAGGAAACCCTTTTCAGCCACTTGTATCTGCAGCCTCATTCATTTGCTCACTATCCAGACCTTAGGGCAGAGATTGGATGTAGATAGACCAGTAAATCGAAAGCTTCGCCTTCCGGCTCAGCTCAGTCTTCACCCCAACAGTCTTGAACAGCACCCGCATCACTGCGGACGCCGCACCAAACCACTGATCCATCTCACACTCCTTTCTACTCTGACTCATGAACAAGACCCGGAGATACTTGAACTACTTCACTTGGGGCAGTAACTTTCTCCCAACCCAGAGGTGGCAATCCACCGGTTTCCGACAGAGAGCCATGACCTCAGATTTGGAGGTGCTGACTCTCTGACTCCTGACCACTTCGCACTTGGTTGCAAACCGCCCCAGTGCATGCTGGAGGTCACGTTGTGATGATGCTAACAGAACCACATCATCTGCAAAAAGCAGAGATGTAATTCCGAGGTCACCAAACCGGACCCCCTACAGACCGTACCCAAACTAAAATGTGGTTATTTTGACTTGTTTCAGACACGACAAGCTTATATTTTACCTTCAAACTGTTAGGTTTAATGTTAGTCTTACAAAACAATGTGTATATGACATTTAAATCTGCGAGGGATTAATGTACTATAAACAGTTAGCAAAAGTTATTTGTTGTCCAACATAGAAGTTAGCGTGTTGGCCTTTTTTAGCGTTAACTAGTTTGTCCAAAGTGTTGTCTGATGGTGTCTGAAGCCAAAAGTGTTTATAGCTGCACACTCAGAAGCAGGTCGCAGTAGAGACGAACAAGACATGGTAATCGTTAAAATATGGAGAAAAGGCACTCATAAAAAAAAAAAAAAAAAAGCGACAGAAATAGTTCTCTAACGAAAAAAAGAGAGTCTGGGAGAGACAAGCTCACTTTTACACCTTAACTCAGCTGGCTAATTGCTGCATGACTGTTGGATCACCAGTTTCTTTAGAACAATTCTGACGTCAGCACAGGTTTCTGGAGCTGTTGGAGCTTCCAGCATGCAGCTCTGATGGAGCATACTGGTTGCTATACTTCATATTCTGTGTGCGGTTGTAACTAATGTTTATTCTCTGTTTGCTTCCCTGCAGCATATCTAACTTCACCCCTAAAGTGGGAGAGAAGGACACCCAGAGAGCGATTCGACAAGCCTTCAACGTGTGGCAGGCGGTCACTCCGCTCTCCTTCCAGGTCAGAGGAAACAACAGACATTTCAGATTTACATTATCACTAATGGACAGTTCTCTTCTTACAGTAGCTTCACTGGTGTGTCGCCATTTGATATTTTTGTGAGGTCTTACTTTTAATTTTAAAGGTATTCAGGGTATCAAGATCAAATTATATAAATATGTTTATGCCTTCATGCCGGTGATAGCCATTGCCGGAGGCAGTATCTTTTTTATGGTTGGTTTTAAAATGTCTGTGAAGCATCTGTGTATTAGAACTTGTAGCTTCTTTGCAGTAACATCCATATTTAAGGTTGTGTTCAGTGTCATGTCTACATGTGAGTCTGGACGGACTTGGAAGTAAACTGTAACTGCAAGGCAGTAACTGTAGTTTTCACTCTGTGTGTCTGTATGTTTCTCACTTGACTTTCTCACTCTGCTCCTCTCGTGTGCCGTTCAGGAGGTGCCGTACTCAGAGATCAAGAACGAGGGTAAGGAGGCTGACATCATGATCTTCTTCGCCTCGGGTTTCCATGGTGACAGCTCTCCTTTTGACGGAGAGGGGGGTTTCCTGGCCCACGCCTACTTCCCTGGCGCCGGCATCGGAGGAGACACACACTTTGACTCTGACGAGCCCTGGACACTGGGCAACGCCAACCATGATGGTGAGACTTTCCTTAAAATGTAATGAATTAGATTCTTTGTACTTGGTCAGTCAAATACTTCAGCTTTATTTGGACTGAACTTATTTCTCAAAGGGAGGTGAGGTGATTTAAGACTGGCCTGTCAGGAGTGTGCGTGTTTCAACCCCACAACAGTAGTAATTACAGCCCCGCCATCTTCTGAAATGTTGTTCAGTAAACTCTCTGGTCCGTCTTTAAGGACAGTCCAGGTTAGGGTTAAACTTTCTGTAGGTTTAATGCTAAAATGGAAGGTCTGGAGGGACAAGTCTGCCCATCCGGAGAGCCGGGGCACAAAACCCCTCGGGAAGAAAATGACAAAGTCCACAACTTCACCTTCAGGGGTGTGTGGACACTGGAGAAAAGCCAACATGCCATCCAATGCAAAGTCACCAGTCGCCATCCCCTTGAGGCCGGGCCCCAGCTCAACCCTAACCTCAGTGCTGCCAGCAGCATATGCTTGTCTCACAAGTACACACGGCCGGTACAGTGAAACTGCGAATGGTTAGATGGTTCAGTCAGTAATGGTTCCTTCGATCGCTCCAGCGTTACGTGGATAACTGTTTCAATTCTCAAACTATTACATGACAACGAGTGCTGACCTCTGGGTATGCATGCCTTTTTTGGCAGTCGTGCTGGCTTGGCTTGGCTTGGTTTGGGCCGTCAGCCCAGCATGGCAGGGATTTGCGTCTCCATTCCAACATGGCTGCCTGCTTGAAGGTGTGTCTTAAACTGATGACAGCTTGTCTTGAGTGATGACGTTTAAAAACACCAGACTGATCCATGGCTAAAGTCCCCGGTTATTTTTGCTGCGTGTTCTTCCACAGCAGGGCAGGTTAAAGAAGTTTACCTGTTGGAGGTGAGCTGTTTGCAGAGGTGCAGCAAGAGCCTGTTGTCTGCAGCTCTTCATCAACATCTCACTGTGACTGCGGTCAGCAAGACTTCACCGCTACTCGCTTGAGGGCAGGTGGCCTGGCTTTTGGACCTACTCCTGAGAAGGTCCATCTCCGGCGTGGCTTTGCGTGGCATGGCTCGTCTAAACTGACAATGGGAACACAAATCTGTGCGGCGTGGCTTTACTCGGTACGGCCAAGAGTGACAATGGAAAGAGAGTATAGATAACTTCAAGCCAATCGCTGGCTCTTGTAGCGTTGACAGCTCATTCAAATGTCGGCCCTATCGACTTTCAATGGTACTTTCTGTGCCTGCCATGGTGACCATGGGTAACAGGGCATCAGGGTTTGATCCCGGAGAGGGAGCTTGAGAAATGGCTACCACATCCAAGGAAGGCAGCAGGCGTGCATATTACCCACTCCCGACTCTGAGAGGTGACGAAACAATATCACGGAGTGAATGTTTAAAACAACAGCACAACTTATTTTATTATTTCAACTGTAACCTTGAGAGAATCAAGGACTGTCTGAATCAAGTCAGTGTTGAAGTGTGTAAAATGAATGACAGCTGAAGTACCAACTGATTAAATTAATATTTATTATTTGTTAATATATCATTTGTATATAAAATGCTTTTAATGTGAAGTGTCCTCGGTCCTCGCTTCGCTATCTTTGAGCTCCACACTGTTTAGTCATTGGATAAAAAATGGAGGGGGGAAAAAAATCACTTCATTTTGTAGTTTTTTTTTCTTTCTTCTTCTATCTCTGTTTGACATATGACTTATGCCAGATTCCCTCTGCTTGAATAACTAACGTGTTGATAGAGAGGGAGAGACGCAGAGAGGGGGAGTGATGGAGGGGGAGAGGAATCTGGTTGGAGAGATTAGCAGAAAAGAGAATTAGCTTTGACAGAGAAGCTCTAAATTTGCCATACCACATTACAGCGAGTGTGTACGTCTCATTCCAGTACGAACTGTCCCAGGAAATCTCTCTCAGCATTCATGCATCAAGGCTGTTTGATTTCAGTGAAGCCGAGTTTGTGCACACACATGCGTTCGTTTAATACTGCTGATTTTGTCAGTATATATTATATATGGTCTTAAGAGTATAGACCGAACCAGTTAATCATCTATCAGTGTGTGTGTGTGTGTGTGTGTGTGTGTGTGTGTGTGCGTGCGGTCACCCAGGTGCTCTCGTGCACACCCTCAGGAGTGTCTCTTTATCTCTAAAATCCCTCCACACACAGACAGACACACTGAGTAATTGAAAGATTGGAAACTAGATAGTGAGACGGCAAAGTTCTCAGACGCCACGGAAACTAATTCACAGTATCAGCTTCAGAAGGACGTCGCGAGGACAAACAGGCCTCGTCTTTACCTCGGCTTTATAACCAGTTTTTTTTTTCCTGTCACTGCTGAGGGACGGCGTCTGCGACTGACCTGTTAACACTGGCACAAGAGAGACGAAAAACACATCAAAGACACAAACAGCTGAATGCAAACCATCTGTCTCCCGTTCTGTCATGTGATGATGGCTCTAAATGAAAAGTCAAAGGCTCTGCAAAGTCATAAGAATTTATCTCGTGGGGACCTTTAACGTCTGCAGAAAACTTCACGGTAATCAAACCATCAATCCAAAAGTGTCAGCCTGATGGAGGCGCCAGAGGAAAAGTCAGGGCATCACCAAATTCAGCAGGATTCATCCTTTGCGGACTATTAAAGGAATAGTTTGGATTTTTTTTAAAGTGGGGTTGTATGGGGCACTTATCCATAGACAGTAGATGTGTGTGATATACAGACCAAAGTCACTGAATGTAACAATCTCATTTTCCAGGCCTGGAAAAGTCATTGAACATTTTGGAAAAGTCATGGCATTTTGTTGGGTGAAATGAAATTGTTACAGTAATCTTCCGTGGATAAACTTCCGCGTAATGTAGCAAATTTATTTTCAGTAGCTAACGATGTCATGCAGCTCGACTACACGTCGACGTGTGACGTTTTGTTAACAGTCATGAATGTTTCGCCCTTGTTTGTCAACGACCTTTTTTCCATGAGGAAAACACATGATGTCAAGCTAAACATAGATCTTGAGAATAAAAACTAGGACAAAATCTATGATTCATTTTCGTTGATATGACAAGGCGTGATGAAAATGTTAGCGGTTGACTATCAGACATTGAAACCCAAGAACAGCCGTGCTTGTTACTGTCATCAAATGCTAGCAGTTAGCGCTTTATATTTAAACATTTTTTTGTTGTTGTTGTTTTTTGGTCTTGTTAATTGATTATTGTTTACTTTTGTCTAGGGCTGACCCAAAAAATTTGAAGCTTCGAAGCTTCGTTCGATGGCACGGGATTCGATTGTGAAAAAAAAAATTCGAAGCTTCGGCGCTTTTTTTTTTTTCCATTTTTTTGGGGGAGGCCTTAAACGCAACACTAACCCCCACCAGTCGAATACTGACAACGAGCGCACTCAGAGCTGGCAGACGTGTTCGAGAGGTCATCAGATGTGTGGTTGCACTTTAAAATATGCCCCGACAACCCCCAGAAAGCAGAGTGCCAGATTTGCCAAAAGCAATTGGCATATCACAACTCAACAACAAATTTGGGAAATCACTTGAAAAACGTAAGTAGTAATTAAAAAAGAAAAAATCTCAGACAAGGAAATAGAAAGCCCAGCGCGCAATGGAGACCTATTATCCTGCTTGAACACAGACGACTAAATACTTTCAACAATGTGACTCAAAATAATGATAAAATAGATTTTATTGATGTAAAATATGCATTTTCCAGTTCCACCAGTCCGCTCTGAGTCTGGTGTCAGAGACACTTCTGATGCTCTGAGTTGCGCATCTGTTTGATTGTGCTGCAGTGTGCGCCAAGGGTTTTAATTTAGTGTTCAATCAAAAGTTAAACACTACTTATCACCGAGCATTAGTGTTTTTTCGTTTGTGAATATTTTTATCTTAATTCTAGTGTTGGAAGAAACTACGTTTTCGCCACAGGACATAATAATTTAAAGGACAGTACTGTTGTGGATATTTCAGTTGGGAAAGGATGGTGACACTCGATAGAGAGGAGTGGAATTTAAGTTATATAAGTTATATGATTCATGTATTTATATTAATATATCTTATTTAACTTGATCATTCATAAAATACTGATGTTGGGCTTGTCTATCTGATATGTGTGTTGTGGTTTGTTTGTTTTGTTCTTGTTTTGTTTGTCGATAAGATTGTGGGTCTTTGTTGTTGTTTTTTTTGTATGTTGTATATGCTTGAAAAAGCAAATAAAATCTTTTAAAAAGAAAACCAAACAAATGCTAGCAGTTAGCTCCACTCGCAGCCAGCAGCTGCCGAACTCCACTCAGTCCGGACTGGAGAAGGTTTGTGGGTTGATGGTGTTTGACAGGCAGGTAGGAGGCTCAGTTATCTGTGAGTGTAGCTGTGCTGTAAGTAAACAGGCTGAACTCAGATCAGTTTAGTTTGAATCACCAACTCTGTGAGAGGACGCCAGTTTAAACCTCCAGACTAACATGTTGCACATGAAGTCAAATGACAGTTTGGAAGTGTGCACAAATTATTTGTCTAAATGAAATTCTCTCTAATCTCTGGTACATGAATCAGCCTCACTGGATTAGTTTAAAGAGAAACCTATAGAAAACATGTGGACTAAAAGTTGACTAAAATGTTTTGAATTTTCGTTGACTAAAACTATGAAGGATAAAAATTACTAACTAACATTTTCATCTCCAGACTAAATCTAAAACAGCTGTCAAAGTTAACACTGCCCTCCATGTATGCCCGCTAGTTGAAATGATGTTTTAATGGAGTTTGAATCTGATATGTCAGAAAAGCGCCAGGTAGGGGTGGGGGGAAAAAATCAATTTCTAGATGCATCGAGACTCTGTCTAGAACGAGGCGAGCATCGATGTGGAAAATTCATAATCAATTTTAATTTTATTTTTATATTTATTTTTCAAATTATCGTAACTCCTCGACCATTCACGCTATCGATGTAATTCCAACAGATTCTGAAAGCTGGGAAGCGGAGCTATACGGTACATTACGGTAGTGATGTCATTGCCTGTGAAG